GTTCGGTGCAGCCGCGGTGCCTGTGATTTGTGATTCCTGTACCCGCACCCCACCTTAGGAAACGAGAAAAGCAAACGTTAACCACATCACAGAGTCACATTTAAGTCCCGAGAGGGATTTCCGTCATAGGATGGCCCGAGTTTCACCCAGTCGGATACCTATGATGGCAAGCTTAAAATCATGAAGTAAAACTGCAGCTATCTTCAAGAAAAAGAGCGTTTCCAAGCCCCACTGGTAGCTGCAGTTCCACACGGAAATGTCAGCTGGGTCAACCGCGACTGCCGAGCTGCTTTCCCAGGAACAAGCGCCCTAAGCCACCTAAGGCACTGCCACCGAGCAAGCTCCTCCGCCCCAGCAACAGGCAGCCATACACTACTGCCTGTAACCCCCTCTGCCCCATACGCCAGTGTTGTGCAAAAAGCCGTGCCCCACCCGTACGGACAGGGCATAGAAGATGGAAAGGAGAGCTGGAGGCTGACCCTGAACTACTTCTGCTTCTCTCGTGCTGGCCAGCAGACCTCCATTGGTTTTGGATGGGCTCTGTATGTTGTCCTCCTTCATAGGACATTAGTGCCTGAGCCACGTTAACTCTTGGGAGCCATAGTCTGCCCCAGAAATAAATTATGAACCACTGTAATAAAAGCCTTTGTCCTCATTCTTGGGCAAAATTCACATTCACCTACTTTGTTCAGAGTTTTTCGTCAGTCCTGTGGGAACTTATGTTATCCTATGAGAAGTCCTGTTGGACATAGTACAGAAGTGTCTCTTATTAAGGCATATTCATTAAAGCAAGGGTAAAATATATAGTCCTGTAGGCAGAGATCATAATTTGCAATGCCTCTATATTGAAGACAGTAGGAAGATGCTGCTTGTTTTCATTCAGTGGCCCCACATAACTGCTCAGACAAGAAAACAAAAAAAGAAACAAACAAAAAAAAACCCCCAAATCATAAAAACTAGTGCCTTTTAATTTCCTTCTCCTATATTATGGATTGAATGATGCTATTAGGACACAGTAGCCAGCTGACGCATAAGCCAGGCATTGAACAGAAGGCAGGAAAAAAAGAACAGTGTCTTAAGTCAGCTGGCAAAGACAAACACAACCTTGACCTTCGTACTTTGTAGCACAAGATCTTTAACTTGGACATATTTAAATCCCACTATGTCAAAAAGTAACATTGCTTAAACGAGACTGTGGGCAACCTTTGCCTTTTTCTATTTGCATGAGCAGACAACACCTACATCTTTTAGAAAGTCTTGTCTCACATCTAGAAAGAGAAAATATTTTAGTAAGTTTGAGTCCCTGTTTTGCAGGTTAACAGTGTTGCCAGGATCAGGCAGCGCTCTCAGCTCATTCTCAAAGAATTGTCCCTCTGTTAATAAACTTGAACATGGGTGCTGGGAAGATCTGCTCCATAATCTTCCTGCACTAGGCTGACT